AACAAAAAACAGAAAATCAGAGAACAATCTATCCAATAGGATGATAAGTAGAACAAACAACCATCAACAGGATAAAAAAGGTGTCCTAGATCGGAAAGAGACAATCTAACTGCATCTACACCTTCAAAGCATGCTTCCATTGCTGCATCTTGGTTGTCTGTACCTGTTGATGGTTATCTTCCCTCTGTTTCTTAGCCTTTCTTTGGTATATGAAAGTCTAAAAAAAAGGGTGTACGAATAAGATTAAAAGGAACTGGTAAGGTGCTGTCACGATATCTAACAATTGAATGTCTCCAAATGGAAGGTAATGAATATAGGTCGGTACTTGGGAGTATACTGTGATAACTCTCAAAATCGAGTCTCTCTAGTACGCTTTAGATACACATGGCAATTCACCATAGTTTGCGAATTGGTGGTGAGAAAAGCTTGGAACATCTCTCCTAAATACAAATTAAGACACAAGTATAAAACATTTAATGGGCTGGTCCAATTAAGAGATACCACAAACAAATTTTCAAAATTGCAGTATAATTAGTGAGTTTGAATCTCTCTCAAAAAAATAAAAATAATTAAACAAATGACTATAAACGGATTCTCAAAGGTATGCCTTCTTGCAGAACATCCACTAGTTTAAGGAGGAAAAATAAAAACAGTAAACCATCTCTCTTTTCGTCAATGGTGAGTCAATTTGGCATAGGGACCTTTTGGTATGAATGGTAACTTTTAAGGTATGTGTAAGCTTTATTTTAAAGGTAGAGCCCTAAGCCTCCAGTGCAAAGGGATGATACCTGTGCAGTGGTGTGCTGGAGACAACAAAAGATTGAAATTTGAAATTTTTTGAAGACATGGCTTCCTTTTCTAGTAATATTTTCAACAAGGCATATTTTCTCCTTTACTTTAATTTATATTTTGAGACAAAGTAGTACTAGCATCAACGTAGAAGCAGGATCCGTTACCTAGAGCCAACAGGGAAAACCAAAGGAACCTCTTGGACAATAGTCTGATGCTTTCCCATCCTCCTTGGTGGTGGACTGACCTCCAAGAGGACTGTAAAAAGTTTATTTCGAAACACAAATGAGTGTACAAGCAGTTTTTTAGGACACCATGGTTAGGCTTTCACTTTGTTCTATAGATGGGGAGGCCTGACCAACGCAGAGAGGATGTACCACTGTATGATTATATCCAAGTTTATGATGAAAAATGCTAATATAGTTTTGTTGACGTTTCAGATAACTATATGTATATGTTTCTTTTTCAGAAATTGAGAGCATTTTAACTTTTCTGGAAATTTGTGATTTGAACTGATATTACAAATGATTTTGTTCTACCGTTAAATTTCGCAGGGTTCTGTTATCCTATATCAAATTAAACAACTACAATTCACTTTGTTTTTTTGAGATTTTTGCTTTTTCTATAGGTTCCATTCTTTTATTTAGTGATTTCATATAGTGATACTGTAATAAAACAAAACATTTGTGTGTTGATATTTATATGATATTCTTATTTTTTTCTTCATATTTTCTGTGTTGTTTGTTATATGAATCATTGGGCTCCTTTTAACTTAAATTAATTTTTCATTATAAAGGAGATACTTTGCAGTGGATGCACATGCCAGTGAAATTTATTTTAAGCGAGTAATTGGTGGAGTTTCTGAAAGTTTGATAAAATATAGACATAGACTGAAGAATCATTTTGACAAGCATCTTCCGTTTGAGAATGCACGCTTGTATCCTTATGCAGGTATTCATATTGATCTTTGGAAATACTTGTGCGATTAGTGGATGTCACTAGAATTTCAGGTTTGGATTGTTAACCACTTGTTTTAACTATGTATTTGAAATCATTGATTATAATACATTGATTCACTAGTTATTTAGGTTTGTTAACTTTTATTATTCTTTGAATTACTATGGAGAAAATAAGTGAAAGAAATAAAGCTAATCGTTTGAAGAATGAGATTCCACATGTTTCAGGATCAATGTCTTTCGTCAGATGTTATGATGGTTATGTACGTAATATATAAAACAATAATTATATAATTTCAATCTATTATCCATCTAAACCATATATTTTCCAATGCTAACTATTACTTTGTATTGCAGGTAAAAGAAAGTCAAGAAAGGCAGAGTGAAGAAGATGGGGAAGTTGAAAGTCACCAGGAGGGTCCTGCTATTCGCCTGTACAAGGAGACACATTATAGGGAAGAAATTGGATGGGTACATGAGAAAGCTAAGTGGAACTACGTAAGTTAAAATATGCCTATTATTGATAATTTTACTACTTGTGAAAAAAAAAAAAAAAAAAAAAAAAAAAAAAAAAAAAAATCATTGTTTGAACATTGTTTTATTAACATACATTAAAGTATAAGCTGTATGATAAACACTACAACAAACTTTTGGGAAAACTGACAATACTAAACAACATACCTATTGTGTCTACTTCAAACATATGTACGCCAACACACACACACATACAAACACTAACTAGCGTCATTCATATGTGGGATGACTAAAAGAAATGAGATGTTTTATTTTATCTGGGGTTGGTGATAGGGGGGAGCTAGAACATTTGACTTCTTCACTATAAACAACACATTCTCGACATATATATTTCCTTGTCTTGAGATTTTGTATTAGAAATGTGTTATATCAAAACCTACCAAATTATAAATGGAGAAGCTACATATATCTGGATTGGTTGGGTTGAGCTAAATTATTGGATTATGAACCACCAAGAATTGTAGCATAGTAAATTAAAGTATGCTAGAATTAAAGGAAACATTGACATCAGAAATATTTTATTGTCTCTATGATATTTTTACTGAACCATTAAATAAGTAAAAAATAATTAGATGAGGAAGTAAACCAACCCTTGAGAGTGTGTATCTGCCTTTGATTAGGCTGGTATTATTGTAAATCGCAATGGATATGAAGGAGTAATTAAATAATGATCAACTGGAAAGGACCAAATAGCCTACCTAAAAAGGAATCTATATCAATATATATATATATATATATAGAGAGAGAGAGAGAGAGAGAGAGAGAGAGAGATTTTATGAAAAGAGGGAATATGTGTGTTTTTGTGCGTGTGTGACCAGAAGGGAATGCTTTTAAGACTAGCAAATTACTCAAGTTGTCTCAAGCACTACTCAGTTGCTTCACTTATTGCATGTTCTTTTTGGGATTTCATTCCTGGGTTATGGCCTCCCAAGCTGTTCTCCCAACCTGAAATGGTCTTTCCACCTACACCGCCTCTTGAAGGTCTCCTCTCCCTCGGACCCAACTCATAGTGCAAGCATGCTGATTTTAGATCCACCAAGACCCCGCCATTAATAATAAACTTATGGTCCACTGATGTAGCAGCACTCAACACTTCACAAAAATTTGAAATTTCGGAAGTTGATACTTCTCTTCATCTATAGACATCTCTTGTGCTCTTAATCTCTAGACGCCTTAATATTTTCTATGTTCAGTTCTCTATTGTTTTATTTTTTTCTCAATGTATTAAAGATTGATAATGTCATTGTCAACTTCATGTTCAACAATTACATGATTATGAGAAATGCCATCATTTGGCTTCTGCTGGTATACTTTCTCATCATCACTCATGTCTTAATCTTCATCATTTCTCGATTTCCTTTTCCAGATTCTGGGAACCAAGAGAGTGACCTCTTTGGCCTCTTTTGTTGAATCTTGATTTATGCTTTCAAATCTGACAGCACTCACCTTTCTACAGTTTCCTGCCAATATCTGCAGAGAACCGCATGTGATCACGAATGAAATCAGTTAAAATAGCCATCAACATATTGATGTAATGCAAACAAATGGTCTTTTGACCATTGAAAAGGAGAAATCAAAGATAGAAGCTGTTTTTCCTTACAATTAAAATCCAACGACCAACATTTGTTATGACTCACTCACATGGAGTAATGCCAAAATATACACATCTTCTCTTTGTCCAGGGACTTAAGAAAAATTAAAGAGGGGGGGATAATGTCACATTTGTTTTTTTGGCAAATCTGATTGAACTTTGGGTCCAACTCCCACCATCCAGAAGTACCGACAGTTTGCATCAGTTGAACCATTGAATTTTAACAGTGTTTTAACTTCAAAATTATAGCTTCCATTTGGTGTATATTTTATTTGTTATCTTTAAATTAAGTTGAAATCGTAGAATTAATTAAATGTTTATTAGTCATTTTCATAGTCCACATTAATATTCTGTATTCATTGTTAGATCAAATAACTGTCCCTAGCTGTATGCTTTCTAATCATACAATTTGTTGTGGCACATTCTGATTCACAAACTCTATATATTCATAAAACAGTTCTCTTCATTTTTATTTTGTGCCTGTTATGTCTATAGATAGATGACATGTAGTGTTGTTATGTTGCTGGAAACTATGAATTTGTATGGAACTTGTAATATTTTTGAATGATTAGTTACAAAACTTTTGTTTTAGTCCTTTCGGCCTTGATTTTATTAACGTGATCAGTTTAGCCTTTATTATTTTTCTAGTACAAGTCTTTTTCTCCTTAATTTGTATCTCAATTCTCAATTCTAAGACTTATATGTCAATTGCAGGATGAAATGGTGGATAAGACTTCCCAGATTTGTCAAAATTCTGATAGTACCAATCCAGTGAGAAATGATGTTGAGATAGTGCAAAACCAACTAGGTATCAGGAAAGGATATCCCCGTGGGTTAGGACATGGTTTTGTGATTCCAAGCCGTCAACGTGCATTCTCATCTTATGAAGAGGCTTCTCGTAAAAGAGCAGAAATTGCTGAGGAAAATAATACACAACTGAAGAAGGAAGTAAAAGGTTTGTGGGAATATGTGCAAAAAATTGAGAAGATGCTTCAGCAACAGCAGCAGCAGCCACCGACATAGTGGCAATATCAGCAATCCTCGTCAGATTCCCAACAATAAGCAGCCCCGCCAAGTGGGTATGAGCATCCATTGCCACCAGACTCTCACCTTCAACAGTTGCCACCACCATGGTGGCAATATTAGCAGCCGCCGCCACTATGGAGGTGATATCATAACCACCTACGAGCACCACCACAACCACAACCACAACCACAACCACAAATCGAATGACGAATATGATGGCCGGAGCTAAATATTTTGGTACAAAATTATGAAGCTTTCTTATGACTAGTTGATATCTAGCCCTTTTTGTCTTTTAACTACAGCTTTCTTATGACTAGTTGATATCTAGCCTTTTTTGTGTTTCAACTACAGATTCTATTGGGCATTTAAAACTTAAGATGCTTTGATTTTGAACATGTTGGAAGAGCTTTAAAGTTTATTTTTATATTCTACATGTCATATGCTTTTGATATCATCTATGGTGCATGATTTTATGGGTAGTAATGCTCTCTTATTTTCAGTTAAGAGTTTTTAGTTTTTCTTATAAAGAACTTGAGAAGAAAAAAAACATACAAACATCAAACATCGCTGGGGAACATACAAACGTATAAAACATAGCCACGGCACCCCCCTCCCCCCCCCCCCCCACAAAAAAAAAAAAAAAAAAAGAGTAATAGGGACGGTTTCTAGTTGTCACAATTGTTAAAAAATAAAATGAAAACAAGTTATTAGGGACAGTAAATACTGTCACGAATAGTTTATGTATTAGTGACAGTCCAAAATTGTCCCTAATATATAACTTATTGGTAACGGTATATTCTGTCCCTAATAACTTTTCTTGACGGGATTATTTGGGATAGTAAATACCGTCACTAAAGACCCTTATTTTTTGTGACGGTACTTTCCGTCCCTAATAAATTTTAATGACGGGATTATTTGGAACAGTAAATACCGTCACTAAAGACCATTACTTTTTGTAGTAACTTTTACTAACGGGATTATTTAGGACAGTAAATACCGTCACTAAAGACCCTTATTTTTGGTGACGGTCATCTTTTACCGTCACTAAAAATCTTTTGTGACACTCTAACTAGTGACGGACGATTTTGATTTTTAGTGACAGTTTTAGGGCTTTTAGTGACAGATTTGACTGTCACTAAAGACCTATTTTCTTGTAGTGATGCTTCAATCTTTGATCCTATTAAAAAAATTAAAAAAAAAAATCGAGTGAGAAGAATAAGTGCACCTAGTTGAATCAAACTTTAATAAAAGGTTCATTCTTTGTCTTGATGATCGGTAATAGATTTGTGTGCTAGCTTAAGGCCGGATGTGATCATTCTTTAGTTGTCTTAGATAGCAACATATTTGATGCCGGTTCACTTAAAAAAGATTCTAAAGTTGTTTTAATTTGCATGATCATTGTCTTGATGTGTGGAGGACTATACTTGCTTGATTGATGTTGAAATTTGGAGAATTGCTTAGAAATGGTTGAAAAATTGCGTACTTGTGGTAGTTTTCTCCCAATGATTGTTTGGAATGTTGGTGCTTCTTTAGTAAGAAAGAGCTTAATGTTTGTGGGTATCATTTTTGGAAACCCTCACGAGATTTCACTCGTCCACTAGGGGTCAAAAGGCTTGTTGAATAAGCTAAATGCAATCGTGTTCCCTACGAAAGTGGCATTATCTTTTTATTGCTTTCTAGTTCATTCTTATATAGTTGATAATTTCTTTCTTTACTTCGTAGTTCATTGCTAGGGACTAATAATATCTAAGTTTGAAGGTGTGATGAGTGCTCAAATGTTACACATTTTAGCACCTAAGTTAGGGTATTTTAGTCCATTCATCTATCTTACTTTCATGTTTTAGTTCTTATTTGTGTTTTTGTCTATTTCAGGTCAATAATGTTCAAACGGGCTAATTTTGGTCCATTAAGATCTTTTTTGGAGTCAAACTGAGTCTTGGTGAGAAACTGGAGCGAAAGGAGGCTGATGCTAAAAACTACCTAGTTGAAATGATCGAGCTTTGAACGATCGAAAATTTTGATCTTATCCTCATAACTACTTTTGTCCTTATCCCCATAAATATCTCAGCCTTTGTCCTTATCCACATTATGCGCCGACATGCTATGATCGATTAAACCAAAGCTCTGATCGATCGAGCGAGCTTTGAATGATCAAACCATACCTGTGAACGATCGTGCTAAAAGCAGCTTTAATATCAGTTTCGGCTTAAACTTCATAGACTAAGGGGCTACGAGTTTGGACCATTTTTGGGCATATATTTGACTTATTTGGGACTCCAAGGGCCACATATAAGGCCAATTGAACCATTTGTAAAAGGGAGGTTTTATTTTACATTTTAATTAATTGTAATAGTTAGTTTCTCTCTCTAGAGAAAAGTTAGAGATTAGGGTTAGAAGAAGAGGGGGAAGTAGAGGCAAAAGGGTTTGAAGAACATCTACACACACTCTCTCTAAAGAACTTCAAAAAAGAAAAAGAAGATGGAGTCATGTTTGGAGCTTGCCCTTGAGGGCTTCATGACCACATCCACCACCTCCATGATTGGCTAGGCTCTTCACTTAAGACTTGGATGAGACCTAAGTCTTGTGTAATCTAAACCCTTGTATTTCTATTTTTTGGGATTAATATATATATATATATATATATATATTGTTGTGATTAGTGGTTAGCCTAGTGATTGTTGATTTAATTCTTTCTAGTGATTCTCTATTTTAATTACATGTTGTCTTATGTATGATTATTTGGGAATTAATCTCTACACTAGATTCTTTATGTTGATTGCATGTCTATGTGTGATTAATTAAAGATTTAGTGATGGCTAAGCATGGTTTTCATTGAATGGGTTTGTAAATTAATTTGATGGATTATGCTTACACTTGATGGGTTGTTCTACATTTAGTTTACTTGTTGGTTAGGTATACAATTCACACTTGCATTAAATAGTTCACATTTTTACATGCAAATTGTGTTTATGTTTGTGGCCACATCTAGATTGCAACAATGTATTCCCCATTAATGGAAAGCAAGTGGTTAATTACATGAGCTTAGTGGTGATTCTAACACCTTAAGACCTCTCTTCATATCTCTTAAATCCCCATCTCTCATTAATTTACTTTACTTGCATTTTAACTAATTGCATCTTAGTTTAATTAATCAATCTCTCTCTTTGCAATCAATTGGTACATTAGAGTCGAAATTATATATCAACACGTATAATCCCTGCGGACGATCCCTACTCGCCATGCTTCATTAGTTGTAGTAGTGGTTTTTATAAATGTAAATTTGACTAGAAAGGCTTCCGAAACTACATTCATATTTTGACCTTGCGAAGCGGCCTCTCGCTTTAAAAAGTCGATTTTTTAAACACATAGAAAGGAGCTCGTCATCTATAAATGTAATTGAGTGGTCGACTTCTATATCTATATGTAGTCTCAGAAAATTGTCTCAAAAAAAAGGATCTTTGAGACAGATATGATCGTTGGTTTGGCCATAGATTTCAATAAAGTCTGTATAAAAAATTTCATTTAAATTGCCTGATTCTATTGTTAGGCATTCCACTTAAAGAATGCGTTTTTTTTTTTTTTTTGTAGCCGGTATAACATTGGACAACTGTTCGTGCATATATGGCATTTCCAATTATTACTTATTCTTATCGTCTTTGGGGAATTGATATGCTCTGCTAATACCTTGTCATTGTGAAAATGAATTTAACCATTCGTTCTTCTTTCTTTAGATTGTTTCCAGTCTCTCATGTGGTAGGTATGATGTATGATAGCAGTAGGAATCTTATTATAGGTAGCTTACAATTGGTTTTATTGTTGATTTGGTTAAGGAAAACTGGTAGGTTGAGTTTTTAGAGGTAGAAGAAAGATTATAGTGATTGTGACTCCAAAGAGATTAGGATTAGGCCGAATTTTAAAATTTTATGAGTTCGGTTGTTTGGAATATTGGACAGCAGGTACTTTGAGGGTTTTTGGTGTTCAAAAACAAAAAGAGGTCAAAGGCAAGGAAAGGTTAGTGTTGATTAGGGTTTGGCATGGTAGGATTTCAGGATGAAATTGGGCAGTTATGGATCAGGAGAGATAACCAGTGTACAGTAATTTGAGAGAGAAAAAAAAAAGAAAGAAATATTGGACTGTTGGCTCACCCCTTCATTTCTCAAAAACTCAACTTCTTTACCAAGTTAGATGATTATATATAGAGGTATAAGGTGCTATGCTTCTCCTAAATGTACTCCAATTATTATTTTTAAACGGAAAACTATGAAACTTCATCTATTAAGCTGTATTCGAGACCTACTAAATACCACTTACAAAGACCCAATAAACTAAAAATAAGACCTTGAAATGACTATTGTATCTCATTTATGAAACTTAATGAAAATACGAGCACATTTGTCTGGCAGCATACTAACTCGAAATAAATTTAAATAAAGACTATTCACCATTATGCACATCTTCCTTTGAACCTCACATTTTATTTTAGTCTTCCAAACTTTGCTATGTTTGTTCTGCCCCTCAGTTGGTATTCTTATTAATACATGCATATGAGACACCAAATTTCATACTTGGTTAGGTTAACCCTCTTTTGGCTGCCACCGGGGCTATTCCTCTAAATCAAGAGAATTGGGTTGATGGGCATTTTGCAGATGTGGCAGAAATTATCGCAGGAAAATGCTTGAAATATTGGGTTGAGATTGGTGCAGTTCTATCCGGGATTGGACTTTTTGAAGCTCAATTGAGCAGTTGTGCTTACCAGATTCTTAGTATAGCGGATTTAGGAGTTGTGCCTAGGTCTTTTGGGACAAGGTCCACATGGTTCAACACACCTTGGGTTGGGATTTTGATGTCAACATTGGTTTCATTGGCAGTTTCATACATGAACTTCACGGCCATTATATCTTCGGTGAATTTCTTGTATAGTTTGGGAATGTTGCTGGAATTCGCATCCTTCCTTTCGTTGAGGAGGAAGATGGCAAGGGCAAAGTGGCCTTACAAAGTCCCCCAGCCGATGCTGGGCTTGGTGATCATGTGCTTGGTCCCATCTGGGTTTTTGTTGTATGTTATGAGTGTTGCTACTAAGAATGTGCATTTGGTGAGTGCTCTGTTGACTGTGGTTGGGATTGGTTGGTACTTCTTGATGAGGTTTTGCAAAACAAAGATGTGGCTTGGGTTTCACAATGGTAGTGAGAAAAATGAGGATGAGGATATAAATTAGGTTTGATTAATTGTTTTTATTTATTTATTTTTTTATTTTTTTATCTTCTTTTGAGTCCTTATGTATAGAATTTATGAATAGAAAAAGTATTTGAATTTCCCTTCATGTAGTCATTATTGAGCTGAATTTAAAGAACAGTTTTAGGCAAAATATGATCTTCTGTCCCAATCCTTGGGACCTTTGTGTTTGTGATTTTGAAATGGTTATATATATAGCATTTACATGACCATGTTATTGACCAAGTCTAGTTAATTGACCTGGAATATTGCATGATATGATTGGGGATTAAAGAAACAAAAAAAAAGAAGAAGGTGAAAATTAACAGATTATAAGTAGTTAATTGACCTGCAAACATTGGCCTGCTGAAATTGGTGTATACCTTCAACATCATGCCAATTCCACTTCCGAAGACACAATTAATTAAGTGGAAACATGGTATCCCTTCTTTTAAAAAATTTTGGAATGTTTGCAGAGCCCGTTGTGAGTCGTACATAGCGAAATGTATACAGGAAAGTTTTTGTTTGTTTTATAAAACAGATCTGTATCATTACCAACTTTACTTATTTTAGTAATTAAATAGTTAATCACATGCAGATAAAATAAAGCAAAGTATAAAGGTAGAGATGACACCAGGATTTTAGCGAGGAAACCCCAGTTGATAAAATACGTCAACTGTTATGAGAAAAACCTCGTGGACTTGTGCAGTCCAAAGTAAACCAATCCACTATGCTTGAAACAAAGTATACCGAACTTTGACTCTGGTTCACACCCTACCGTTCTACACCACACCAACCGCTGACGATCCTCTGGCTTTGCGACTCCTCTTCCAATAGCAACTTGATCTCAAGCTTACACTTTATATTTGTAGAAGAGTAGCAGGTAGATCAGACAACACTCCACGAATGCTCCAACCCTTTCAAAGTGTGACTGCGTTTACTTCTGTTCTTCAATTGTCTGAATGATGTAGAAGAAGATCTGCTTCGTCTGATCGATGTAAATACGACTGTATGATCACGATCAGGATTCGAACACCACAACTCTAAACTAAGTGTTTATGTGTATATGTTCTAGAAAGATATCAGAAAAATCAACTCTGATTTTCTGCAAAAATAATCTTCCTAAGGCTTTGAATAATATCTGAATAACAATGTAAAAGCCGTTCTTCAATCAATGTATATGACATGGTTTATATAGATTTTAGAATGACCTAATCCCTCTAAAAATAAGATAAAATTCATGCATAAGATTTGGTACAATTCTAAACCAACTAGGAGAGAAATCTGAAACAGGAAACTAAACTTTCCATAGGCTATCAGGACTCTTGAACTTGTTCAAAGAATTGGGAACCGGTTCAAAAATGGTAGAATGTATTTCGAGGCCAATGTTGAAAACTTGAACCTGTTCAAAGAATTGGAAACAGGTTCAAGAATGACAGAATGATTTCTAGACGAAATTCTAATGGCTTGAACCTGTTCTAAGAATCATGAACTGGTTCAAATCTACCAGACTTGAAATTACCAAGTATGGAATGTGCCCTAACCTTTTTGGATTTCTTCCTAACATGGTGTTCTTCCTTTTCTGTGATGATCACAATTATAGCATCTTTGAACAACCTTCCAAATCCATAGTCTCCGTTAATCTTGATAACTTGCACTACAAGTAACTTAAATTACAACTCGACATGGACTTGTTATGTCTACGACAATTGCCAAAAATAATTAATATCTCACACCCGTGGTGTGCCTAGTCCATGGTTTTCTCTAGTTTGGAACTCAAACAAACCTAGAATTGCAGTTCAAGCAGTTCTCATCATGCATAATTCATTCCCCTCTAACTTTAACCTTGGAAAGAGAGTTTTCATTGGCGCTTCCATATGTCACAACTGTTTTGGAGCTTCTGATACCGGATACCATCTGTTTTGGTGCTGCCCATTTGCAAAACAGGTGTGGTCCTAGTTCTCTGACTTATGTTCTTGGAATGAATTGATGGAGCTTCCTCACTTCTCTGATGCCCTGGCTTGGTTTATTGATCACACTCGTGGGCAGACTATGAAAATCAAGCTTCTTAGGTGTTTTTTCACTGCCATTCTCTGGAAAATCTGGGCTAAAATAAATAATAGATGTCACGATGGGGATGCATTGTCTCCACATCAGATTGCTATGGACTTTTGCTTTGAAGGGATTATCTGCCCTAGGACTGACCATCTCTGATATTGAGCCCTTATTTTGATTCTAGTTCTTGATGTCAAGTTGCTTTTCTTTTTCTATTCTTGCTGTAGTTTGGTGTATGCCCTGACCTCTCTTTAAGTTTTCCTTTTGGTGATCCTTTTGTTTTTTTATCACTTCCCTATGTACCATATTGTTCATATTTTATAAAAAAATTCCACATTAAGGAAAAAATAATTTTGACCTGCAAACATATTCTATATATATATATATATATATATATATATATATATATATATATATATTAATTTGTTCTCGCTTAACCTCTTTGTGCTTGTATGATTGTCTTCCATTTGATATTATAGTTGTTTTGCTGATTCTTGCCACACAGGGATATGTCCCCTTTCTCTTGTATATTTGTTTATATTCATACTCTTTTTTTTTTTTTTTTTAACCAAAGCAAGAAAGGATGATCTTATAAAATAGATAATTCACGGATTTTAATCTATGGATGTTTCATGACAAACTAATATAGTTTTGTTATGTTTGGGAGCATCGAATTGGTGTTTTGGATTTGGAATTAGAGAAAATTTAGTTCAAAATTTGTACTAATTTTTTTTTAATCACAAATCCAATGCACCGATTCCATGCCGTGTAAAATAATAATAATAATAATAAAATTAAAAGAATACACACTCCTTCACTGCATAGCCAGGTGACTCAATTGATGTCCTCTTTGATTGCTGCCACTAAATTTGCAATTTTTTGAGAAGTAATAAGCACCTTACACTCATCTTCAATAGTCAGTTGGCTGTATATCCCCATTGAAGAGCCCATTTAATTGCTTGATGTTGTTGTGAAAGGGAAGAAATATAGTGCAGCTTTGATAATCTTGTCCTCTGCAGCCCCTATACGGATCAAATTATGAGAAGATTCATTCCGAAAAGTGAAATTCCAAGTGTCCTTGTGTTTTGTCATACCCTTGCATGTGGTGGGCATTTTAGTGCAAAGAAGATCGCTTTAAAAGTGCTTCAAAGCAGGCTCTTTTGGCCTACTATCCATAGAGATGCCTACAATTTTTGCAAGGCATGTGAGAGATGTCAAAAGATAGGAACTATCACTACAAGAAAAAGGACTTTTTACCATGGTGGAAAAGGCTTTCTACCACGGTTTTGAACCGTGGTAGAAACAACCGTGGTAGAAAGTATATTTTCTACCACGGTTTTGCACCGTGGTAGAAAGTCTTTCTTTCTACCATGGTGCGGAACCGTGGTAGAAAGTCTATTTTCTTAGAAAGTAATAGACTTTCTACCACGGTGCATAACCGTGGTAGAAAATGTTATATAATTTTTTTTTTTTTTAAACAAAAAAAAAAAAAATAGTGTAGCCCATTTGAAGCCTTTTTTTTTTCTTTTTTTTTTTTTTTTTCCTACTACTAGCCTTGCAAGGACCCCATAAGTAAATCCTAAATAAATAAAAAATAGCATCATAACCAAAATAATTTACAACTGGCCAATAACATCATATATATATATATAACCAATTCCAAATCATTGTTTTATACAAAAATTAGCCATATACAAATTTCAAATAAGTACATGATCCACACCTTATATATTTACTAAACCAAAATAAAACAAAAATTCTTCATATCTTCTTGCAACTTCTTCATGAGCCATACAAAAAATATAGCGGCAACAAAAAAAGCAACGGCAACGGCAACCCGCAATCCTAGGACTGAAATGTTAGCCAATTCAATTTTTCTTTCTTTTTGACTTTTTTTAGGACTGAAACCTGACCAGGAGAACTCAAACCACCCTACAAATGACTCTACTGCAATGCTATGACATCAATGGCCAGTAGAGATGCCACATCCAATTCAAAATTTGGTAAAGAGAGGCTATAATACATGTCTCTAAAAAGTACGGTTAACCTGCCCAATTAAAGCTCTTAACTTAAGCACCAAGTAGAATCAAGTGAAGATTCATCTATCTGTGTTTAAACCACATCAACAGCTTATGTTCAAATATAAGATTTTCAGAATCTCCAAGTTCTGAGAAACCACATTAAATGTACCCAGTACAAAGGTAGCTGAAGTTTTATCATTTTTACCTTTAATATGCAAAATATATTGACCTGTGATTAGCTTTATCTTCTACCAAAATTACCCATAAAACTACTTGAAACTAATTTGATTTCAAAGCAGATCATACATTAACGCTTGGGAGACACAAAGGAACAAAATACAACAATTAAATATACTTGTCTTTGTCACTATTTGAAATCAGGCATCGAAAAGAAAAGACATGGCACTGAGCTGAGATCACTTAAAAATTTACCAACAGAAAAATTACTTACAAATTTTAAGTCTAACTTGACAAAGACGATTATCATTTTAAACTTTCAACAAGTAAGGGTAATACATGTCGAATCCCAATCAAGCTTTCAGCATCACAAGCTGCTAGGTTCGGGCAGAGATGTCATTAAGAACTAAACTATTTTTGAACTTTGTGAAAAGTAGTGAGCTTATAAGTTATAGTGGACTCGAGCTTGTTTGATAACCTACTATTTCAGCAACCTTTAAAATAGAAAAAAGTTGAGTACAGAAGGTACCCCGCATTGCAATCTGAACTTGTAGACCATGAAGTCCATTACCTATTCCAACGCTCCTGTATTAAAACAATTTCACCAGGCATAAGACAATAAAAAAACAGGATTTGTTCCTTCAACATTAAAATACAATCAGAGTCAACAAGAACTGCCACACGAAATTCTAAAGTATAATTGCTGAGAGTGTCCATCATTTTCATAATATCCAACCTATATCCAATCAACATCCTATTGCCAATTTGTCATAAAATTCTTCAAATCAATAATTGGTACAAAGATATATTCACACAAATTGAAAAGAATCAATCAAATAAATGCCAGCAACAGCCACCTACTCATAAATCTTTATTAAGCTAAAGATACTTGGAAGATTTTAACATTATAAGGACAAAATATTCCAAGATACCAAATTTTCAGAGACAAACACAGGCATGCTTGCATGTGTGTGCACAACCACTTATAGTTAACATACAAACATGTTAATATACAATATATATAACATGGTAAATTAAAATCAACATTGCACTATACTACAGAGCAATAGAAGTTTTGTTTCTATTTAAGTGCAGCAAGTGACAACAGTTTGCAATTGGGACATCAGCATATAATGAACATTATAAGTGTGGGCAAAAGCCAGTAGAATCCTCAGAAAGCAATAAATCAAAATGCTGGCTAATATTCCCAGATACAAAAGATTTCACAAACAAACAAACACTTGCTTACATATCCCAGATACCAAGGATTTCACACAAACAAATACTTGATCATATATAATAGATAGAAAAGAATTTACAAATTTTCTACTCATTCTCCCATCCCTCACCCACCTAGACACATAAAATTATGTGTACATGTAAGATACAAGGTCTTATTTTATATTTTCTAATTTTATGTACCGGTATCATTTTATTGTTGGTAGGGAGCAGTGCTTAAATTATCATATCTTGGTTGTTAGCAAACATAGTGTAATTTATTTTGTACTACATGTGGTTTGGACTTCGATTTGTGTTTCTGCATGCTCGTGTATTGTGGTTAAGCTTTGAATTAAAGTTAGTGTTGGCATGTATTTGTACATATATGAAAACATTTGAAGCCTACAGTTGGTTAGTACTTGGCACTTTTTATGTTGTGTGGAGAGTAAAGGGCAGTAAATTTCTAGATGATGTTTTATGCATATGCTTCTGGTGAAATATTGGTAAGGAGTCAACTCATCCATATGGCAGAACTAAAGAATGCAACCCGGTGAGGTTCATATTATGCTAAGAATTAGGTGGCGAATGTGCAAACAAACCTATTATCTTCACTAAATTTATAAGGACAACACAAGTGGGAGTAATTCTAGAAATCTATTGAATCTCTGTCAACAAACATGTCACAGAAAAAAAACATAACTAGAAATTTTGCACTTGTTAATATATTACACAGCTTATGAGCAGACGTAGAAAAAAAAAAAAAAAGAGATAGAGCAAATAGAATTATCAGCACTACAAAATTTAGAATCAGAAGAAACTAAAATTTGGGTGTTGTAAAGTGAGATAATTTTCTGTTGATAGCATGACAAACATAATTAGTTTTTTTTAGAAAGTGGCAATAATTACACATTTATTTCCTCTTGTGACCACAATTAGAACATATGGACAGTATTAAAGAGGCAGAAAGAATCTGCCTCAACCCATGCTTTCGAAGACCATTAACAGCCTTTCCAATCTCTGTAGACTGAGGTACAAAGAATTATATGCCCCCATGTCAGTATAAAACTTAAAACAAGATTAAAGAGATGGTAACTGCTCCTAATTAAATGGAAAACAAAAGATTCAGTTCAAACCTTCAAGTATCCACAGACAAGGCCATTAGTTGAAGCCTCCTCAGTGAATCGCATAATACCGAATCAGACTGTCAGAAAAACCACCTTCAATCAAAGACCAGATTACAAAAAGAAGGTAGGACCGTAGGATATATATATATATCAAGAGGTCAATTAGTGTCTCCCCATTATTATTGTTTATTTGTGTGGATGTGTCATAAAGGAGAATTTTATTCAATTAATGTAATATTTGTATTGATATATATATTAATATATAGCTTTGACCTAGTAGCCTCCTGTAGTTCTAATGACAGTACTACTGAATAATGTATACTTCGTTCTTTTTTGTAATATGAAGTAACATATGTAATATGCTTGAGTTTTTGCTAGTGACAATGTTGAGCATACAGTGATTAAGTTCCTTGTCTGCTTGAGTTTTGCTAATGACAATGTTCAGCTTACAATTATTAAGTTCCATGTTTCCTACGAAGTTGAATGTCAAAGCAAAATCTCAAGAACATGATAGCTCTTATAGGGTTCATAGTGTGTGCATTTATATGTATATTTTCTTAGATTGTGTTTGGGAGCAGATGTTGCTGTTTTGTAGACTGGAGTGAGAATCAAAGCTTTTCCAAGAAAGAAAAAAACATGAACATGTTCTTCCTACTATGAACTGAAACTATAAAGAAGGGGATTTCTAGATGATCAGTTCATCCAACTTCAATACCTGCAAGATGAGAGAAACCCAGACTTTGTGGTTGAAGTGGTGGTAAATAGGAGACAATTCTTTTTATAAATCAAAATAGTTATGGTTTTTTATAGTTGAAGCACTTGCAGGCAATATTTTCTTCTACACCACTCCACAATTCTGACATATATATATTAAGATTATATGATGTCATGAGCCCAATGTCATCAACACCAACTACATTAATAGCAAAGGCTACAAGCTGGAAATGACAATTCTGAAAAGACCTAGCTAATTAATGAGCTCACCATGGGGCAAGTTCAAGTTAAATGTTAGAAATATGAAAAAAATAATAAGAAGCCATAAATGTGAGCTCTGGCATTAGCAATCTTTCTCGTAAGATTCAGACCAAAGTAATCAGCCTAATACAATTCCAGAATTGTGAGAGATTAATCTTGGTTGCTGTATTCTAGATCATCTTGCTAAATATTTGGGGAAAGTTGAATGATATAGACATTTAATCAAGAACAAGTCCACAACCACACGAACGATCCAGTAGGCAGTGACAACGATGATGATGTAGTTCTATCGTATGTCAAGAATGTGGGATCAACAACTTCAGTCTAAGTCCAACAGAATAAATAATCCATTCACATGATTCATATTAACATTATTCAATCTACCAGAGAATACGCAGAACATGATTCATATTAACATTATTCAATCTTCCAGAGAATACGCAGACATAAGGTCATAATAAATAGAAAAGGGTCATGTATATCAATACATACAAACAGATGGGTAAAGTAAACTTTTGTCACTAAAAGAAAAACCACTTACTTGAATGAGATGGTTGGTACAACAGCAAAAGCTATCATTAAAAACAACGCAGCTCTGAATGTTGGGATTTCTTGAGAAGGAAAAAAAAAAAAAAAAAACAAGATAGACAAAATTGAGCCATATTTTTGGAAGTGTTATAAAAATGAAAAACAAAAAGTACATGTAAAAATAATTAACAAAAGGGGGTTCTTTCAAAACACTGAGCAGGGCAAGTAGCAAAATGCAAGGGTGATCAAGAAGTATGCATCACGGTTGTAGAAGAAATTGAGCCAAAAAAAAAAAGGAAATTCCACCCCTTTTCCTGGACAAATATAGTCAATCTTAGAAGGTGAAGTATAGCTGGTCTTATTCTGTAGTGATAAAAATTTGCCCTAAATAGGATTTGCCCTAAATAGGGTTTAGTTTGCTAAATAAGAATTACAGAACTTGATTAAATGATTTAGAAAAAAAAAAAAAAATTTAAAACAAAACCCATACATACAAGTTAGCAGTTGCAGAGAGAGGGCTTGAGAGTTGAGAGGCAGTGGGCCAGAGGCTAAAGCTTGCGAACGGCGAACCCGAATTGGAACAACGGGGGATATGGGTTTTGATATTTTGAACAACCTGAAATGATATGCTGATATGGGTTCTAATTCTTGTAGATTTTGTAGTTTGCAATTGCAGAGATATAGAGAGAGAGGGCAAGTTCAGAGTTGAGAATGACAATAGAGATGGAGGCGATTGGGGAGGCTGAAATGATTTGCCCTAAAAATTTCACTTAATATGATTTAGTTTGCAAAACAAGAATTACAGAAATTGATTAATTGATTTAGAAAAAAATAATAAAACAAAACCCATACATACAAGTTAACAGTTGTAGAGAGAGGGCTTGAGAGTTGAGAGACAGCGGGCCAGAGGCTAAAGCTTGCGAACGATGAACCCGAACTGGAACAACGGGCGATGGAAATTGAAGGATATGGGTTTTGATATTTTGAACAATCTGAAATGATATGCCGATATGGGTTCTAATTCTTGTAGATTTTGTAGTTGCAGTTGCAGAGATAGAGAAAGGGCAAGTTTAGAGTTGAGAACGAGAATAGAGATGGAGGCGATTTCGGAGGCTGATCAGATTCTTGTAGATTTTGTAGTTTGCAATTGCAGAGACAGAGAGTGGGCAAGTTTAGAGTCAAGAACGAGAATAGAGATGGAGGTGATTTGGGAGGCTAATCTGATTCTTGTAGATCTTGTAATTTACAGCTACAAGAAAAATAACTTTTTATCACGGTGGAAAAGGTTTTCTACCACGGCTATTTTCTACCACGGTTTTGCACCATGGTAGAAAGTCGGAACCGTGGTAGAAAGTCTATTTTCTTATAAAATAATAGACTTTCTACCACGGTGCATAACCGTGGTAGAAAGTGTTATATAATTTTATTTTATTTTATTTTTATTATTATTATTATTTTTTTTAAATAGTGTAGCCCATTTGAAGCCTTTTTTTTTTTTTTTTTTCCAAACTACTAGCCTTGCAAGGACCCCATAATCAAACCCTAAGTAAATAAAAAATAGTATCATAACCAAAATAATTTACAACTGACCAATAACATCATATATATATATATATATATAACCAATTCCAGATCATTGTTTTATACAAATATTAGGCATATACAAATTTCAAATAAGTACATGATCCACACCTTATATATTTACTTAACGAAAATAAAACAAAAATTCTTCATATCATCTTGCAACTTCTTCATGAGCCATACAAAAAATATAGCGGCAACAAAAAAAGTAACAGCAACTGCAACCCGCAATTCTAGCTTTGACCTACAAAGATGTAATAGTTGAAGTAAGAGAATTAATGTAAAGCAAGTTGTAAAGTTGTCAAAATTAAACCAAGCAAAGCAAGCATTATAATAAAGGTACATTGAAAGATCTACTCTTCATATTAACTCAAGCAAAACAAGTATTAACATGGTCTTAACTCAAGCAAAGCAAGTTCAGTGTGTCAAGGAAATAATCCCAGGATTAAAGCTTAAGCATGGCTTATTTAATAGGTTATTGAAAGTACACAACCCTCCCAAATTGCTCACAAGAGGGCTTTATTCAACAAAGAAAATGACCTTATCTAATTCAATTTTTCTTTCTTTTTGACACTTTTTTAGGACTGAAACCTGGCCAGATTCTTTTAGAAAGTTTAGTAGATCTATTGTTTTTTTATAACCTTTCTTCTCTTCTTTTCAAAAGGAAGCGCCTGATTTAATTAAATACTAATTTAACTTGCTATACTTATTTTGGGATATGCTACCAATAGTAATGGAATCAAATAAATGATCTAGGATGGTTTGTCAGCCATATTATATGGGACTCAGGTACTTGTGTCTTGAGTTGGTAAATGTCAAAGCAGGTAACTGTCTAAGGTTGAATATATCAAATACCTAAATCTGAGGACACTGTTAAATAAGAATTATTATTGCCTTGGATGATATGTCTTTTATATGACATTGAGATTCATATCTACATCACCTTCTACTTTAGCACAAAGGTTATGTATTCTAGTACCAAATGGTGATTTAAGGGACTGACCTAACTCTAATTAATTTCTCACATTCAAAAACAAAATCACTTCTGATCTAAAGCTCACCTTATCACCACCACGTACATATGGTTCGGTTCTTAGGCGCATTTTTTATTCTTTATTTTTGCCTCTCACATTTGCTTTTATATACACTGCCATAAATTGAAGCTCAATTTCAACCTCTCATAGACAAAATAAATGACGACCACACACTTGCACAACATTCATTTGGACGCCAGTGTTTTAGAGTTTAGAAACAACTATATTTTCATTGTTGGCTATTCAAGTGTATTAATAAGCATCATGAGGATATGTTTCACAGTTTCTGGATGTTTTTCTTTTGGTATATTTTTCTTAATTACGAAAGCACTAAGAACTTTCACTTATTTAAATTCAGATGTACTTTTTTTATTTAAGAACAAACATCATACAATCACAAAATATTCCACTATAGTAAAAAAAAAAAAAGACGAGAATTTATTATGAGAGAAAGCAATCATCAGACTAAGAAAAACCCAATCGCACCATGACCTCTCTGAACCAGCAGTTCCACCCCATCCACCTTTATAACAAAAAACAGCACAACAGCAGAATCTGAACATATAAACGCCCAAAAAGCTAATAAAAGAAAGACATGCAAAATGGTAACACTACAGTTAAGCAAGAAACTCATGCTAACGCAGTTATTATTGAAGTGACTGGGATCACATTATAACTTAGCACGCACAAACAAATACACACAAAATAATTACAATATTATAGAGAGAAGGAGAAGCCTTCACCACTTCTAGGGGAAACTATATATACACTACTTGGTAACACTTCAGTTTTTAATTTTAAATTTCATATAAAGAAATTGGCAGACTGTGTTGGCGCATTGATTGGATTGGGAAAACATCACTTTGTTCTATCAGATACCCACAATAAAAATCAACTAAAAAAAACTACAAAGGAGTCCACTAACAAAAATTATAGAGATGTACAAAAGTTTACCTCGGAAACAAACTTTGCAAACAAGATTTAAAGCTCCGCAAAATGAAGATGAAGCACATTCTGTCGGAAACAAAGGAAAGGAAAAAAATATGGATCAGATCAGTTCGCACTAAGGTTTAATGAACTTCCTACAATAAACAAATAAATAAGAAGGAAGCCCAAAAATCTGTTTGAAATAGTTTTTCCCAGCAAAACCTACTTCCCTTTGAAAATTCATAAAAAAATAAATTCTCAACCAATTTGCATGAAACTAATGTCCATTGGAAGCTAAAAGACTATATTTTTCTTCTATCAATTTAAATTAATAAATTTTCTTACCGATTAAATCAGGTTTGAAGGAAAAGATACGAAAAATTATGCTCACAAAATAGTTTTGACAGCATGTTAACATCAACTTTGAAAATCCATAATAATTTCAAAATTCAATCAATTTGAGCCAAACAAAAGCCTGTAAACTCATTAACAATTGTACTTTCATATCCAAAATTTAATTTAAAAGATAACAGTTCTAAGTATAGAGATTTGAGTTCTAGAATCAGCATGTTTGGTTTCATTTTCCAACACAACTCTTCATTTAAATTCTAACAATTCTTCAATTAATTTCACTCCATTAACAAGAAGGTTGAAACCTACCATACCTACAATCTATATATGTCATAAAATCGAGTGGTTTGATGATAAAACTGTACTAATCCATTTTTTTAAATCGTCAATTGATAAGGAAAAATAAAAATTGAAAAACAATCAAGTCCAACTTTCAAAACGCAGCAATCCACCCATAAGTATCTCTGAAGATTCCTCTCAATAATTAAACAAATATATAATCTATCTTAATTTAGTTGTAATTTGAACCAGAAATGTACTCTTTGAAAAAAAAAAAAAAATCTAGAAATGTACTCTGAATTCTGAAATCTATATACTACATGCCCCAAATAGAAGGAAAAGAGACATCGCTGCCCCACCCTAACCCCAGTTTTGTACTATACATCAAAGAAAAAAGCTGGGTGGTTATAACTTCACATTTTTTTAATGGAGAAAATTGTTTATAGAGAAATGTTGGAACAAATTCATCCTTCAGAACAAGGCAATTTACATAGATTTATTTGAAACGAAAACTATGTAAGGAGATATATGCATTCTTAAAAAGAATTCACAACATATGATGATGATGAAAAATAATCCACTAGTGCTGTAATAGGATTTAGAACTAAATTAAATTCAAAGAATGAAACTTCAAACTTACATCTGCTCGTTACATGATGATAGCAATTTCCTATAAATGCAAAGCACAACTTTTACGGAGCCAAAATGCTCATTCCTCAAATCCTTATAAAATCTGTGCTCTAGGTAATCAGTAATCTGTATAAGAACCAACAATGGAAGTCACTTAAAAAAAAGTCATAGGCACTTTGCCAAGGTTACAAATTTTAGAGTAAACTTTTTGGGTCTGACAGAATTCTTGAACTATCAAAAATTTGTCATTGGGTTCAAGAGATTGATATTTTCATTGCTTCAAATTCTCAATTGTTTTTGACATTTTCTTAATCAATATTTCCATTATCTTTACAAGATTTCAGAGTAAATATTTGATTTCAACAGGGGGAAAATTTGAATTAAATAAAAAAACTCTAGAAACTAACTGACTATGAGCATAAAGTTAAGAGCACAAGGCAAGGCTTGCCTTTAAATAAATAAATAGATATTGGCTTCTCTTGTCTCTTAATGTGCCAGGAAAATTGTATTAGACTATTAGGTGATAAATTTAAATTTGAAACCGTAACTAGAAAAATCTTTCAAAAAAAAAATAATTTGATGGGTTAACTAAAGAATAGTATAGTGGCTGAAAACTTTATATGGTAACTGCAAATTTAAATTTAAATGTTGAATTCAGAAAGCTTGAATTTGCTTGAGTCGGGATTTCTGATAGAGCCATGAATTGACAATACAATATGAATTGAATTTTCAGAACAATAGCCTCTTAGTGAAAGGGAAGTTAGGCCGTACCTTTGGTATTCGTAATGGATTTTTCAAAGCATAATCACAAAGCTTCCCAATTTTTCGGTCTTTTGGTTCAGCATCCTACAAAAGGTGATTGACATAACAATATCAGAAGCCTTTAAAGGGGATAAACCCTAATTTCATATATACATCAACAAAATTGAAATCCCTAACCTGTTCATTTGCATCCTCTTCAAAAATTGAACTCCTCTAGCCCAACTCTAACATCAAAATCGCATAGATGAGTGGTGAGAAGAATAAGAATCAAAATTTATGTATCCATTTTAAGCGACCGAGTAAGTTTTGCGAACACACACACATACATATATACGTGTATAAATAGAGAGAGAAATAGATTGGAAACAAACCTAGCAGCAGCGGTTGTCTGCAAATCGCCGAACACACCTTCGCGTCTCTAATGGAGGATTCCAGATTTAGGGTTTCTTCTTTAGGGGTTAGGGTTTGCTCTGATGGCCAACTGAAAGAGGCTTGATGGAAAGAGGGAAAAACATTTTCACCGGTTAGGGCTTTAATCCACCCGCACTGTATGTGGTTTTTTCTTGTGTGGGTGTGTGGATTTGTCTCTGATTTTTCGTTCGATACAGCTTGAGGGAATCGTGGCATAGCCATTCCTAATCTAGTCGCTCGCCCTCGCTCTACTGAATATATATATTTTTTATTTTATTTTTTTTAGAGAGGACAAGCATTCAAAGTATCAGCGAGAAAAATACCCGCTAATATAAATTCACCTCCTACCACGGTGGTAGAAAGAGGCCCTTTCTAGCACGGTTCAGCATTAACCGTGGTAAAAAATACTTTCTAAACCGTTGTAGAAAGACCATTTTCTACCACGGTTCTTGCGGAATCGTGGTAGAAAGCGTTTTTTTACCACGGTTAATGCGGAACCGTGGTAAAAAGACCATGGTTAAAAGTTATTTTTCTTGTAGCGCGCAGAGACAGAGAGAGGGCAAGTTCAGAGTTGAGAACGAGAATAGAGATGAAGGCGATTTGGGAGGCTGAAATGATTTGTGTGTGTGGCCTGAAATGATCTACCCTAAAATTTTAAGAAAGTAGCGGGAGTAAGACGGTGTACAGGATTTCACCAAATTCACTTTCTAGTACGGTGATAAAATAAATGTGGTAGAATAAATTCATTTTCTACCACGGTTATAAAAATAACTGTGGTAGAAAATATAATTACTACCACGGTTTTTTCTTAACCGTGGTAAAATATAAACTTTCGACCACGGTAATTTTAAAACCGTGGTAAAAAATGTCTTTTACCACGGTTATTTTAAAACCGTGGTAAAAAGGGCGTTCTAAAAAACTGTTTTTCTTGTAGTGTATGTCAAGAAGAGACATGATGCCCTTGACAAATATTCTTGTGGTCGAGATCTTTGATATTTGGGGCATTAATTTCATTGGTCCTTTTCCTTTGTCCTATGGTTTTCAATACATTTTACTTGCCGTTGATTATGTTTCTAAGTGGGTAGAGGCTTGTATTACTAAAACGAATGACCACTCCGTGGTTGTTCAATTCATTAAATCCAATATTTTTACTCGTTTTGGTATGCCAAGAGCAATGATTATCGATGGGGGAAAGCACTTTTGCAATCAATTCTTAAGGAATCTATTTCTCAAATACTTCGTCTCGCACAAAGTTGCCACACCTTACCATCCTCAAACAAGTGGGCAAGTAAAAGTTTCAAATCGAGAAATTAAGCATATATTTGAGAAAATAGTGAACACAACCCGGAAAGATTGGTCGCGAAAATTAAATGACACTTTTTGGGCTTACCGGACGGCATATAAGACTCCCATTAACATGTCTCCTTATAGACTTGTATATGGAAAGTCTTGCCACCTTCCAGTTGAGTTAGAACACAAGGCTATGTGGGCAGTTAAAAAGCTAAATCTTGACCTTGACAAAGCCGGAGAAAATCGTTCACTTTAATTGAATGAGTTGGAAGAGTTGAGACACAATGCTTATGATAATGTCAAACTCTACAAAGAAATAACTAAAGCTCTTCATGACAAACACATTGTGAAGAAATCTTTGGAGCTCGGCCAAAAAGTATGGCTCTTCAACTCTAGATTAAAACTCTTACCTGGGAAATTACGAACCAAATGGGAAGGTCCTTATGAAATAATTTCTGTTGCGCCTTATGGGGCGGTAAAGATACAAAGCTTAAAGAATAGCAATACAATCAAGGTAAATGGGCAAAGGTTGAAACCTTACATTGAGGGACAAGTTTTTCAAAAACATATGGAAGCTACCCTTTTGGTGGATCCTATCTATGAAGAGATATAGTGACGCATTTACTAGTGATGCATTTACTCTTATCAATGGGAGTTTAATTTGTTTCCCCTGTAGTACCATTTATTCTCTGTGTCATCATCATCATCAACTTACTTGGATTTGTGTGCAATGATAAATGCATGAATTTTTGCCATTTCGATCGATCTTATAAGAGGTTCGATTGATCGAACATCATCTCTACATCCAATCATCTCTCTGTCCCATCGTGCGAAAATTTCCTGCATATTTTAGTTCTTTGTGTATCGTGCGAAATTTATTTCTGATCGATCCAAAAATTCCATGATCGATCCAGTTTTCCCTTGGATCGATCTTCATTCCACACTTAGAAATTTTTTTAAAACTTTGAAAAATCACCTCTCTATGTATCGTTCGAAGTCGTCTATAGGTTTTCACATTCTCGATCGAACTAGCCTAGATCGATCATTCTCAGATCGATCACAGCCTGGACCCTTTGACTTTTTGACTTTTTCTTTATATTTTTAGCTATTTTATTTTTAATTTTCTTTTACTTTCTTTTGTTTCTAAAAATAATAATAATAATAATAATAATAATAATTATTATTATTATTATTTCTTTACATTATTTATTTCCTTGCATTTTTTACTTCTTGCACTTTTATTTACTTGTTTTTTAAAATTTTGTTTGTGTACATATTTGTTATGTTTTTTAAAAAATAATAATCTTTCAAAGTAGCATTCTGTCTAGCTAGAGACGTTAAACTTAGTAATCATTGTGCATATTTCTTATATTTTGTTTCATTGTACATACTTTCAAAAAAAAAAAAAAAAACTTTTTACCGTTGTGCTCTTTTGTGTAGTCATGCTACTTTCATATTTTCTATTAGGCTTGATCTCATATCTGTTTTTCATCTTGTGCTATATTGCCTTAGGTTGCATGTCTTGGTTATTCTTATCCCATTTGATATTTGATGTAAGTTTGCTAGTGTGGTTATTCAAGTAGGATGTTGATTCCAAGTTTGGGGGAGACGTCTTTAGAATTGGATCACTACCGGACTACATGTCTTTACCACCATGGTATATTCTTTCCATCTTTTCCATTGTTGTCATTGCACATTGAGGACAATGTGCAGTTAAAGTTTGGGGGTAAAGTGACTTTGTTGCATTCTCTTTAAGTTTGAAACTTAGTTGTATTATTGAGATTTGAGATCGATGTTTGCAATGATTTTGATCTTTTGAGGACCATGATACTTAGAATTTAAAAAAATTGCTTGACTGAAGAGTCTAATACTCCTTGCATGCTTTGTGGATACCATTTAGGAGTAAATTTTTCGAAAGATTGATATCTTGCTTGCACTTGTGGTCAACATCATCTTGACTTTGTGATTATTTTGAGATTTACTCTATGATTCTACACTAGCACAGGCGCACACTAACATTCATTTGTGGGGTACATGCTTTGTTAACTATTGATTTGGTTATATCCCAATTGAGCTAGTAGTGCATTGAAATCTTTCATCTTAACAAAAGTGGTAACAAACCCTTTTTATTGAGTAGTCGGGATTCTAACCTCATCAAGCATTGAATTTCTCGCACCAAAAGGTGGAGGGCCCAAACTCTAGGTTAATAATTGAATCTTGCTAAAAAAAAATAAAAATAAAAAATAAATAAAGAGAAAAGAAAAAAAGTTGCAAAAGCAAATAAAAAAGTGAGGACTTCTCCCAAAAGGTGAGAAGTGGGAAATACTGAGATGGGGGTTGTTTTGATTTGTAACCTAATTGATTTGAGCTTGTAAGTCCTTAGGAGTGTTTTAACACCTAATGCCCTAAAGCCGTCCGATATGGGAATCATTGACCTAACGCTCGACCTCATGGATCACTAGAAAGCTTAATAGATCAACACATTGCACCATGCTTCCATCTTTGATCCTCTAGTATAGTAAAAAAAAATAAAAAAAATAAAAAATAAAATAAAATTCGAGTGAAAAGAATAAGTGCACCTAGATGAATAAAGATTTAATAAAAGGTCCACTCTTTGTTTTGATGATCGGGACTAGATTTGTGTGCTAGTTTGAGGGTAAGGATGTAATCATTTCTTTAGTTGGCTAAGATAGCAACATATTTGATGCCGGTTCACTTAAAAGGATTCTAGAGTTGTTTTGATTTGCATGATCATTTTCTTGATTTGTGGATGACCATACTTGCTTGTTTGATGTTGAAATTTTGGGAGATTGTTTAGAAATGGTTGAAAAATTGTATACTTGAGGTAGTTTTCTCCCAATGCTTGTTTGCAATATTGGTGCCTCTTTTGTGAGAATAATCTTACTGTTTGTGGGTATCATTTCTGGAAACCCTCACGAGACTTCACTTATCCACTAGGGATAACCTAGGGGTTTAAAAGGCTTGTTGCATGTGCTAAATGCAATCGTGTTCCCTACGAATATGGCGTTATCCTTTTATTACTTTCTAGATTATAATTGTTTAGTTGTTCATTTCATTCCTATACTTTGTAGTTCATTGCTAGGGACTAGTAATATTTAAGTTTGGGGGTGTGATGAGAGCTTAAAAGTGAGCATTTAAGCCCCTTAAACTCGAGTATTTTAGAACCTTTATCTATCTTATTTTTCCGTTTTAGACTAATTTCATGATCATCGCCTTTTTCAGGCACTTATCCCCAAAATAAGTCAATCCAGCCAAATTAGATCATAAAAGAAGCAATCTCTAGCTCAATAGAAGAAATGAGCAAAATGGAAGCAAGGTGGTGGAAAACAGCATCTTCGATTGATCAGACCAAGCTTTGATCGATCTCACAGTGATCGATCCAGCCATGCCAAGATGAATCAAGCCTCTTGTCCTTATCTTCACCAAAATTCCTTTTTCCATCGATCCAACTTTTCTTCGATCGATCTAACTTCTTTGATCTTATCCCCACCTACCACTTTTGTCTTTTTTCCCAAAATATCCCAAAAGTATCTCAGATTTGTCTTATTCCAAAAAGGCACCGCCATGGTTCGATTCGATCTCACCAAACTTCGATCGATCGAACCCTCTCAAGTGCAAAAAAAATAGAGTTCCAGCTAATTAAAAGGGTGCTCGTAGTGCAATCATTTGGAGGTCCTAGTGCACGAGGTCTGACCATTGGGTGTGACACTTGAGCTACCTATATAAGGATTTTAAGCCATTTTACATATAGAATCTTAGAAATCATATACAATCTTAGAGAATAATATACAAGAGAGAGGTTGGAGGAGTCTAGAGATTGGAGAGAGACACACACTATTTGGGACTTCTTCCACTCATTTAGGGTTTCCATCAAGGAGAAGAAGATCATTCCTACCATGAAGATGGCCCTTGAGGGTTAGATGACTACATGAATGAGTGGCTAAACCATTTTCTTGGGGCTAGAGTTAGCCCTAAGCATGCTTTCTAGACCTTGATGCTTTGTATTTTGAGAGGATTTGTGTTGTAATTTTTATCTTGACCTTGAGATATATATAAATCTTGTTTCTATCTTGATTTGTGTAGTTTAATACTTCCAATTGATCATTTCATTCTATCCATATATCTATATATGCTAGAATAGATGTCCATGCATTTATCTCTAGTTTTGTTATATTGATGTATGTCTATGTGTGTTAATATCATGAATCTAGTGATGGTCAAGGCATGGGGCTTAAATAGAATACTCTTGTGGATTATTTGATGGTTCATACTTATTTCTTGATAGATTGTGCCTCTTTCTTAATTTAATTAGTTTAATTTTCATGTCCCTAACTTAGTTGTAGTGTAGTTGCCTTACTTTCTTAGATGGGAGGACAATCTATGCTTATTGTTTGATGTTCCATACTTATGAATGCAAGTAGTATATTTCTTAGTTTGTTGATGTGTTTTGATTGTGAGCTTAAAGAAAGGAACAATGGCTTAATTTGATATATTCTGCTATTCATTAGTTGTCTAGACAATGTATGCTTAAATGGTCATCCATACTTATTGATTCAATCAATCACACACACTAATATTGCAACATACAATCCCCTTCATTTATTGCATATGGAGTGTCTAGGAAAGTGATGCTTAATGGTGAAATCTAAGTCCCAAGATCCCTCTCTTATATTCTCTACATTTTACTCTATTTTAATTACTTTACCTTGCATCCATTTGTTTAAAATTGTAGTTTAATTAACCAATCAAACCACCTTTTGATCACTCGACCTACTAATTCGATCTTGTTTCCAAGCAAAAGTACGCTTCTGATCCCTTGGGACGATCCCTACTCACCCTATCTATATTTAGTAGTTAGAGGTAGCAGTGACACTTTATAAATTCAAACTTAGCCACTCTTTAACACGTTTTAACTTGTTGGAATCACGACAGTTCCACCTACCCACCTCCATGATACTTAGAGTTTTGTTCAACATGATCCCAAAATGCATCCCTTTTTTTTTGTTTTTTTTCATTTTTCCTTGATAGCATAAGTATATGGTGTGAGATTTATGAAAAATATCTTTATATTCTACTAAAACATCTAGTGAATGTGGTGATTTATAAACTTCGAAAATAATAATAATAATAACAACAAAGATACTAACAAAATTTAAAAGATCTCAAAACAAAACAAAAAATTTATAAATGTCTACAAATATCAATAAAAATCTATGATTCTTCAAAATTATAGCGTTCCACAAGGTATATATATGTGTTTTATTACTTTGATTAAAGATCAAGCATTGAATTGACAATAATAAGAGATTAAAAAAAAATAAAATAGAGTGATAGTAGAACAACTGAGTGGTCACAGCCTTTCCCGAGATTGCACAACAAATAATATTAATTGATGGTGTGAAAAAGAAGGGCTATACCAAACAAAAAATAGTAGTTTGTGTTAAGAATATGTGTTTGAGAAAAATACATCATTAGAAACGTGAACGGAAAAAAAAAAAAAAAAAAAAAAAAAAAACTAGGTTACCCTAAAGTATAAACACGAATTAAACGGAGCAACCAAAATGAATAAACGAATAAACGCGTTACATACATGATGATGAAAAAAACGCTTATTTTATTGTATCTTTTAACTCTAATCTACAAACGGGAGTATTTTCCCAAAATTCGTACGTATACGATACACGAATTTACTAACTAGGTCCTTGCCCCTTGCAATCCCTCCACAAAGCGTAAAATGGTTGCTGTCTGTCCAATCATCCCCCCATGCAATCCCACTGCAGTGGTTAAAATGTCTGCTGCCTGTCCAATCGGGATGCCAATGCCTTCACCCGTCTTACAATAGATTGCAAAGTTCTCACAGTTGTTGATTAAGATGTTGTAGTCAAGAAAACCATTACGAAGAATAGATTCAACACGATCAAGGACAGTTTCGGGTGGATCAGAAGCCTTACGGCTACTGATCCCTCGTCGATATTTGGCCCATGAGACACCATACCGATATAAGTAGAGTTCACCACCAGAAAGGAAGCAATCAATGCAGGAAGATATGACACCATCAAGCCCCGAGTGATACCCGCAAATTGGGCATGGGTTGTCAGAATGAGAGCTAACTGAAACGCCGGCCGCAGCCTGAGTGAAGTGGATCACCATCCCATCACCTGCATATATTCCTGTTGTCCATGGCAGATATGTTACCAAAACTTTGGTAATAAGTGATATATTGAGCTATAATTGATGAAATTCTAAAAGAATTTAGTAATATTTTCAATATTGATATTCAAAATATTATGAATACAATTATAAATAAAAGGACAATGCTTAGGTCCTCACCGGTGAGGATGTACACCATCCTTACTGGTGATGTGTACCAATAACAAATAAATACATCCTCTTTATTTACCAAATCAAATATAGTGGGTACATATTTACTTACCAAATAAGAGATAGTGGGCACATCCTACATCTTTCATTTAGTAATTACGGATGGTGTGTTCACTTGTTATTGGTCCACATAACCGGTGAGGATGGTGTAGATCCTCACCGGTGAGGATCTAAGTATTGTTCTAAATAAAAAGGAGGTGTTAGAGGAAAGGATAAGGAAAAGACTACCGTGTGGTTATGCCCAAATTTGTTATACGAATTCGTTGATTCCTTTTTCTAAATCTAGAACTTTTTTTTCTTCCCATCCTAATTTTGAGGGTAAAAATATCTTCAATCTCTTACTTCTTGTAAACAATTCAACTAAAATAATAAAGTAGAATTGGTCCCCAAAAAAAAATTAAATAGAACATATAAAGAATAATAGGACGAGCACTAAAAGGAGTGAATGAGCTCTTAAATGGGAAAAATAAATACACAAATTAAAATAAGTGAACAAATTTCAAGAGGAGCTTGACAAGGTGAAGTCCAATATCCACCTTTTACCTTTCCCGATCTTCCAGAAGAAGGCACAAAAATACTTCTTTAAGGAACATCCTCCGTTTATGAAGACGACATCCTCATGTATAATGATTCTCTCAAGATTAAAACAAATTGGTTTTGCCATGATGGGGTTAAATTGGCCAATGGTTTAACTTCTTGTAAAATCATTGAACAAGTAGCCAAGGCAATACCATTTGTTAAGATTTTTTTTTTTTTTTTTTACTTTAAAATTTTCCCACCTTTAAAAAGTGTACTATAAAAAAAGTGTCTTTTTTGCAATTAAAAATGGAAAGTGATAACGAAAAGGGTAAACAAATATCACAAATCATGTCACATTAAAAATGCTTCACCCCAATACTTTGAACAGTCTTAGCGCTAAAAGCAGCATGATGTTCCACAACCAGGATCTTCCCACAAGATTAAAGTTATGGACGCAGTTGGAAATTGCATTATTATATGAATGTAGTTGATTACTTGATTGTTATATTACTTTTTTGCATCAAAATTTCTATGCCCCACCAATCAAAACAATAGTAAAAACTAAAACTTCATTCCAAGAAGTAATCAAATTCAAGCAGGAAATTATAGAATCTCGGGAAAAAAAAAATATATTAGTGAGGATCTATACTATACTGATCGTAGATGTGGACTCCCAGATGGTAATCAATTCACCATCTCTGATTTGGTAAGTGAGTATCTATCTCACTATATTGAATTTGATAATTAAAAATGACATGTTCATTTATTATTGGTGTAGAAATATATATACATATATAGAAAAAAAAAACAATAGAGCTAATAATGGGTGGAAATTTAATAATAAACAATAACTTCGAGGGTAAATTGAGGAAAATGGTACAACAATATCATATAATTTAACATAGAAATAATATGTTGTAAGCAAAGATTAGGCATGAGATGTGTGTAGTAGTGGTAATCATAGAAGAATTAATGGATAAAAAATGAGAGAAGAATTAAAAGGAAAGGAAGGACCGTGATGAGCGTAGAGGTTTAAGGCCCTCCCCCTCCATGAGTAGATGTGATCGCCTGCCCTCAGTTCCGCTCTGCTGATCTTGTCAGACACTCCTCCCATCTTCTCTCTTGACCTCTTTCTCTGTTGATCTTGTTAGATTACACAGCACTACTCTCTCTCTCTCTTTATACTGCCATAAGTGCAAAGAGAATAAGTTCTCTTAGTCTCAACGCTATACTTGCAAAGAGAATAAGTTTTCTTGCAAAGGGATTCTCCTGGATGTTGGAGTGTGCAGAATCATATGAGCCTTGTTGGTTGTGGCATAGCCCAAACAATGGTGGGTATGTTTAATGGAACTGATGTTCAGTTCGGTGCAGTTTTAAGCCCATCCTTGTGGCTTACATTTAAGCATGACCAGATGACTATGGGTCATTTATTTGGTTGGGCCGTTAAATGCTTGTGTGCTCGTAGAATCTTTGTGTTAATATCTTATGGAGGCGTTGCTTGTTGTCTTTTTTATGCTTTTGTGTGTAGGGTTATTTTGTTAGGTTTTGCTGTGTAGATGCGGTATGGCTCTTTTCTTTTTGCCAGGAAAAAAAAGAAAAAGTGTGCATTAAATGCATAGAATAAAAATAAAGAGTGAAAAGAGAAAACAAGATGTGTGCTGGGTGGAAAGTAATTGTGAAGGCATTAAATACATTTAATGCCTATTATAGCGTGATGTTAAGCAAAGGTGCAAGGAAGTGAGTCCGGCACCAGGTATTGAGAGAAAATTTAAAGGGAGGTGTGAGAATAATACAGGGAGTGAGAAGTGAGAACCCAAGGGTGGTTAGGTTTTGGGTGTTTCCATTCCCCGATAATTATTCAAGTCTTAGGAATAACTTGAGTGGGATCTCTTGTAATATTTTTCTTTATAGTGATATTTTGTCAATTTGTCCTGTAATTTTTTCCCCTCTATCCCGAATATTTTTATTTTCTTGCACTTATTTTATTTCTCGGCAAATCTATCTTGGTTGTTGCTACACACACATTTAAGTTGATTTTCTGGTCCTCCAACTACGTTTTAAGTCCATGGTAGGTGTTGTGGTCCGTGGATCCGGCTCCTCTCCTCTCAAATATCTTCTAAGTGCATCTACAAGTAGGGGGTGGTCCCTCCAAATTTTTCCCAATCATGTATTATTTTAATAGTATTATTGATTTTGCATAGAAAAATTAGAGCTGGGCTCCCATTTTTTTAAAAATTTTTATTTATAATTATTAAAAGTAATTTCCAAGTGAAATTACTGTTATAAGCCTTGTTAAAATTTATTAGTACTACTCGTATAATTTTATAAACCTACTCTTAAAATAAAAATGATTACAATTATTTAATTTTATATTACAGCTTGACCGCCCAAATTATCTAACGGCGTTTTAGTTCCACAGGCCTCATTCTTTGTCCCCTTCTTCTGATGCTTCTCTCTCTTTTATCCTGAGAACAATTTATCAGTATTATCTTTGTGTAGGCCTAACTAAATACAAATTCTCTCTTCCCTTCAATTTCAGCCCTAATTAGGTGGTTTTTTTCTTTTTTAATCTAATGAGATTTAAGTTTTCTAACTGCAATATACACACAGGTATTTATATATAGTCGGAAAGAATGGATAAATAAATGTATTTTAGTTGTGTAGGGTTTGTATTGGTTTATATATGTTTGTGTTACTTGTGTATATATACAACATGCCCAGAAAGTAAATTGAAATTTTAAATGATAATACTAAGGAATGCTAGCTGCAGTTGTGCATGCGACTCTAGAAGGACAGTCGCGCCTCTCATTGGTTGAAAAACCAATCATAAAAGGTATAATTAGTGCATCTTTCCTATTTTCATTGAACTTTAAAACTTAACATTTTAAGACCAAATTAACCTTTACAACTTAACATTTTCCTTTCCTGCCATACACATATATAATCTTCCTTCTTTCATTTGTTATATATATATATATATATATATATATATATATATTATTTTCATTTTTTATTTTATTTTTTTAGTAGTTCTTAACTGTTTATATATTATATATGTGTGTGTGTGTGCGCGCGCGCGTGTGCGCGAGCCCAATATTATGTGAACCGAAAGAAAAAGAAAAAGAAAAACACTCATGTGAATAGATTATCTCCTTACCTTTTTCTTTTTTTCAATTCTTTTTCTTTTCTTTGTTTATATATATATATATATATATATATATATATATATATATATAAACATATATAATTAACCATATCGTGTATGAATTATAAAACCATTATTATTTTTCTTTTACACATTAACTAAAACTCAGTCCTCAAAGGAAGTTGTCAATCCACACGAACGAGTCTCGGAAATCATTCCAGAGTACTCGAGACGACACTAATCAATGAGAAATCAAACTCAGAAAGGAAGGACAACGGAGAAAAAAAAAAAAAATATCCGTAAAAATCTGAGAAGAGGGAAAGGAAGGAAAAAGACTGGGTCATTACAGATTTATACGACCTTCTTCACCACACGAGAGAGCAAATTTGGAAGGAGTGTAGGCTCTTCTTGGACTGCAAATTGGGGATTATATTCTGCTTCCCAATCATGAGTACGAAGTGGGTTGGGATGTGATTTTGGTGGATGAGCAAAGTGGGAATTTTTCGGCGGCGCCGGGGTGGATGGCCTCGATATTCACCACTGGCGTGCTAGTGAGAAGCAAGTTGAGGAAGCAGCAGAGGAAACACCCATGTATTTATGCATGATGTGAATAGGGAGGTGGAGAGATTGCTTGCTTAGAACAAGACTTTCTATTTGTTTAAATTCAGTCAGGTGGGTTCTTCAATTGTATTCCCACGTAAGAAAATGTTTCAGTTTTGAAAAAACCCTAGAATCAATCCTTCAAATCCTATTCTGGAAGACTGCCTTGGATGGATGGTTGAATGTATACTAGCAGCTTGCCTCAGAATTGGTATATGTGGAAATCTTTCTGACTCTGTTTGTGTTGGTTGTGATCTGTGTTTGGTTGGTTGTGATCTGAGGCTGTGAGGCTGTGGTGGTTGTGTTTGGGAAGAAGAAGTATAGCCCTATTTGTGTTTAATTACCTAAAATGATACCGTTTACAATTTTGTATACTATTAGTATTTCATTACCTATTACGACGCCGTTTAGAATTGTGTCTATTTAGGTAATTTCAACTTCTAGCAATTTTTTATTATTATTGTATAAAGAATATTGGGGGCATTTTCGTATATTTACATATCCCTCTGCCAAGAACTCCTTATTCGCACAATTATGAAACTAATGGGTGGCGTTTGAACAACAGGGGTGGCGTTTGAACATTTTTGAAAATAGAGAGGTATTTTTTGCACTTACCCCTATGTGTGTGTATATATATATAGATATATATATATATATATATATATATATTTAATTTAGTAATAGGTTTGATTGATCCATGGGAATAAACCCAAACATAAGGGTCCTTCCATAGGGAACTAATAGGTGTAATTGGTGGTTTCATGTACCCCTACTCGCAGGAGCTGAGCCAGGATTGTCTTTTAGGGGGTGTAGTGTAATTGATAGGAGGAAAAAAAAAAATCGACGCAAACATAGATCAATCTTTTCGCTAAACAAAAATACCAAACACTTGAATAATTCTTTGATTACAGAGAGTGTACCAAAGAGGATGAGGAGTGAGGAGTTTCAGACACTTTTAGATGTAGAGGCCTGAGCTTCTCCCAAACTCTGCCTCGCCTGAATGAAGGCACCACCGGAGGAGATGATGCATTTGGTTTTTTAGCAAGGCAAATTTGTTATAAGCTATGACTAATTTTTAGATAATGGGTTTATTTAAATGATTCCTTGTTCTATGCTATGATTCCCTTACTTCTTTTTATTTATTTATTTTTTTTTAATTTTTTTTAGAGCAAGTGTATCGGCCTATAATATACGCACCATTCAAGTTAGGAGTGCAGCTCGAAAGCGAGATCTCAAGGACTTACTTTTAGCAATCCACCTTTTGAACTTTGTAAAAACACAAAACAATATATTTTCTATTATATGACACTTTTAGAAAATAGTAATTCCTTAGGCTCTGGTTAGTGAATGACAAAATCACCCCATCCTATCACTAATTTGTGTGAATTTTTTTATTTTTTATTTTTAAGGGAAGAATATTTGAACTTTCAAAAATTTATGCATATAATAATATAAAAAATCAGAATTTCAGAGGGGGCATGTGCCCCTCCTAGGCACATGCTCCCTCTGCCACTGCCTACTAGAATTCTATTGGGAGGCTAATGGGTTTGTTCCCTAACGACGGAGAGTAGCTTAATACAAGAAATAGGAACTTTTTCATTTTAAAATTTTTATTTGGGTTTCGTGAACTGAATTGAGGACAACCAATTATTTTACAAGTTTATGTACGAGGGATTTGGTGATGCTATTAATAATCAAATGCTTCTCGTTTCTCATTGGCTGGTCTTTGTTTTGATTGCATGTTTTTTTAGTACTCAAGAATGCCCTATTTTGGTGCTTTCAGCCTTTTCTACACTTATTTGGTTGTGGAAGTGCTCAATGCTCAAATTTTATGGTTTGGCATGGTTTCCTGTATATATATATATTTGTATACGTATATTCGTTGAATCCTCACAATAGTTATAAGTGAAGATGTCAAATTTTTAATGGATTTGAAATGGGGTCATGGTTCCCCAAAAAAGATCGTGGATTCGATTCTCCAATCTCCATATCCTCGGCATGTACCTTCTCTCTCTGTATATTTTTTTTCAAAAGTGATGCAGTGGGGCAAAATTGGGTTCCTTTTTTAATTCTTTTCAATAGTGCATGATTCAACTATATATATATATATATATATATATATATATATATATATAACATCTATGGTATCAAGAAATTATTGTGGCGGTAAAACACCATCAAATCTTCACCTCCAAATCATCTATGGTATCAAGAAATTGTAGAAATGGGCTTTAAAAGAGAGTGTAAGAAATCCTAAGAATTCTAAAGAACATGTATTTAGATCGAGGCTAGAATTGAATTATATGTCCATTAAGACAATACATATTTGCTTCACTTGGTGCTACATGAACTTAAGATGTAATGATTTTCCTTTTGTAGCAGCACTCCAAACCAATGGATCAGCGAAACAAACTCCA